CAGACGACGCCCTTGGATGTGGACAGCTACACCAGCCTAGACTCGCCCCTGCCCACCCCTTCACCCGACGGCCTTGACCTCTCGCCCTTCGACGTCATCAAACGGACCGGCATCGCCTGGGGCGCCCTGGAGTGTTCCAGAAAAAATCGGACCGGAACCTCGCTCGCCGTCACGCCGCTGTCGCCCAGCTCCATGTCGTCCTCGCCCCGGAGTCCTCCCCCCTCCCCGGGCACCGCTCGCGGTGCACCCCCCACCCCCTCCCATCACGACGAGTGTGACGACACCGTCACACACCCCAGCAAGATCAGACAGAAACTCTCCACGCCTCTCTCTCACGGTGCGGACCTCCTCTTATCCTCCTCCTCCTCCTCCTCACAACCGGCATTTGTTAGCCGGAACGAAGAGCCGGACCAAGACCTGACCCAGAAACTTTCACATCACCAGAAACACAAACTTTCCAAACCCGGCGTCAACCTGGGCAGGATCGATACCGAGGTATCGAATATGACACGCCAACACTTGGACCACGTATCGAGTGGATACCCGAATCACCCGGGCCGGATTCGACCGGCGTATTCGTGTGATAAGACACTGAGATCGTCTTCTGTTTCGCCACCCGACTCCCCATCCCCCGTCCCCTCCCCCACCAGGACACCTCATCATCTCCCCTACCCCCACGAACTGTTTGCCGCCTCTAAGTGTAACAACAGCGGGCATTTCCTCCCCATGGCCAATTTAATACGACCCTCGCAGCTTTCGCCCAAAGCCTCCAATTTCAGCATCGCCGCCATCTTGGGCGGCAGCTGTGGGTCGGGGTCCGCCGGGTCACACGTGACCACGACGGGGCCGGGGGCCCGAGATTACAGATCAGGCGATAGGGACTGCAGCCCACTAGAAGGTAGGTAACCCAGGTACCCGCTAGATGGCTTGAGATAATGCTTGATTGCTTTCTTAATTAATAATCGTACGTTGTTTACGAGGGACGGCGTATTAATGAGAGTACGGCCTGGTATCTGTTGCACATCTTGTATAGTCCTATATCTTTAGCTCTTCTACATATTTATCATTACCGTTATATCCCTACGTAAATACCTCTACATCTAAAAACCTATATATATATATATATATATATATATATATATATATATATATATATATATATATATATATATATATATATATATATATATATATATATATATATATATATATATATATATATATATATATATATATCCCTACTATAGCATTACTTCTGTAGCCCTTTGTTTATAGTCCAAAGTCTATCGCCTTGGGCATTTAACCTTTCTGCTAAATTCCCAAATCTATAGCTCTGTATACATAGAACTTTATAGCCTTGTATGTATAGCGATACATTTACAGACCATGCCTACATATACAATCATTCTCTAGCAATACCGTTTATATTATAAGCAGCCCTACATATTTAACAGGCATCTTTCGATCTGCTTCTTACACCAACCACCCTTAGTCCTGGTTGTGCAGCTCTAAATCATCTGCACCTTATTTTACATTTTCTAACGGTTATTTGAGAACAGTCATTCATTTCATATCTTCCCATATTATTAGCAATTTTTTTTTATCACAATGAGATATAAATCAAACGGGATTAGTTTAAATTAAATGTTGGAATATTTACATTTCAATACCTACATTGACTAACACAAAACGGTCGTATTTTAAAATATTTTAGACACTGTTTATTTGTAGTAAAATGTACGCGACAGAATACAAACTACAACAGCCAAAAATCCTCTTGTATTGTGTATCACAGCAAATGTATTGTATTCTTGGTTGGACAAAGGCTATGGAAGCAAATCCAAAAAAGAAAAGCAGGCTGAAATCGGAGTCAATGGCCTCAATGGCGTATTACCAGTTGACACGTATACTTAATAGTGCTGGAGTAGATCATTTCCAACACTAAAATTAAGAACAATGAAGAAAAAGAAGAATTCTGTGTATGGGAACATTTATACTGTTTTCATTCTCACATTTTGTTGTGGTAGTGTTGTGGTAGTGTTGTGGTAGTGTTGGTCATCTGTTCCATTCCACCCCACCTCCTTGTATTGACCTGATATACTTATATACATATCTTATATTTAGGTGAATAAGACCCACACCACCTACACACACTCACTGTTAAATAAAACTAATTCCGTCACGTACACTGTCCTTCGTTGCAAGCGACTAATTTACTCACACACTATCAAGGATCTTTGTAACAGGAGTCTTACCCCCCCCCCCAATCCATCTACAATAACACATAATGAACAACGTTACAAGCGACTAGCACCCCCCTCCTACACTGTTACATGTAACATATCTATGTTTCATTCGGCCTAGACTGTCGACCCCCCCCCCCCCCCCTCTCCCTTAATACCTACCTTACTGCCGACTAATCCTCCTTACCTCCCCATATATCGTTGAGCCAACTCAGCACTATGATCTAACTTCCCACCTCCCGCCCGCCCCCCACAGAATTAAGACGGCATTAACGTACCCCCGGGCTGGGTAGATTGTTTTATAACCCTCTCTAGTTCGGCGCGCGACGATAACCAGCCTTGTCTACGCTCGTAAAAAAATCAAATTTCGCATCCGAAAATATGTTTGCAGGAAGTGGCTGTAGGGTCTCGTGTCACGCGAGAAGTGAGCAAGATTTGGGCGAGATTTTTAAACCCCCGTTAAAAAAAAAAAACAACCCACCCCCACGAGTGCAAAGCCACCCACGGTCACGGGTGTGAAGTAGGGAGAGAAACCAACCCGTTGAAAGGATGAAAATGATGGGTAAATCGCGAACCATCACCCAAAACAGACGTCTCGCACCCCACCCCACGCATCTTTCTGCTCCCTATCAGCTGCAGGATAAGCAATTTATAGTCACGTGATAAGGGCTAGCACTCAGAGCGAGGCTGCGCGGTGTTAGGTTGCGCAATGATACGAGGTGGAAAAGCTTAAATCAGACGGGAATGATGCGAGTAAAACGGGATTATCTCCCCGGAGTGGACGTTTGGACCGGGTTATGGCCAGATAAGTTTAGCGTTTGCCAGGAGGAGCGCGGGCTTTTGAAACGACTTTAAAACATTTCAATGCCGCGATGTTTTATGGTGATGGCGCAGAGCTGTAATATACAACCCTGGACTGTTATATCCAGCTCGGCAGTATTATATACAAATCAGGAAATGTTATATACACGCTAAGTCAGGAATGTTATATACACGCGAAGTCAGGATCGCAATGTAAAGTCAGGATGATAATATATCTGGATTCTAATATTAAAATTAGAATAGTATAAAAAAAATAATGATTATACTACGCAAGTCAGGATAGTAAAAACAAGAACAAATATTGATTGTAATTAACAAGCCATGATCGTAATTACAAGCACGGGAGGATTGGATCGCCGATCTGATGGAGAAAATCCCAGTGGGCCCCCAGAAAAAAATACCGTTGGGTCCCCATATAACAATTCCGGTATGCCCCCGGTAAAGGTATTGTAATGGTCTATTAGTGCTTTAAAACTTTTGTCACTAGAAAACTATATATACGAAAGTCCCAATATAAATATAAGTCATGGACTATATAATGATAACATACACACTCTCAATGACGTTAACATACAAGCATGCATGTCTATATACATACACAGATAGATTACATTGATGCTGTTCACGTTAGCTGAGTATATCAGCTACCACAACAACCCACATCAGCAACCCGTCTAGCTGGTCACGTGCTTCTACCTGCAGACGTACAAATGTCTGCAGGGTCTAGCTAATTATTGTGTGAGTTTCGTGCTCTAATGAGGCTCACCAATGCACGTGCATTGTGCTCTACCCATGCTCACCCGGGTGGATGTTTAAGTTCGCCGTTGTGGGAAGTGTTGTCGTGTGGTTGTAATTGGATTGTCGTGTGGTTGTAATGAGGTTGGAGTGGTAAAAAATTACTGTCGTTCTGGCGACTAAATTATTGTACTGGTTAATGTAAATTATTGTCCTACTGCATTTGAGCAGCTAAAGTATAAAATTGTCCTACTGGTGTCTAATTATGGTCGTACTGGCGTCTAAATTACTCTCTTACCTAATGCTCACAAAACGTTATTTCACAATGAATGTATGACCAACCGATTGCTACTGTTATGTCCTAGTTGCTTGCATAGCACAACCATGAACAAGTTAGGGTGGGGGGGGTGAATGTAACAATGGTCGCAGACAGACAGACAAGCAGACAAAACCACTGGCCCGTAAAACGACGGGCTGTTTAACAGGTGTCTCGTTTCGACACCACATTGCCTATATCGGCCACGGTGTCGACGTAAGCGGTGATGATTGCATTCCTTGCGTGACAAGATAGTTCCCTGCAAGAAATGGTACGTCTGGTGTCTGGGTTTTTTTTTAGTTGGGGTACGGCAGTGTGGTGTATCAGGTGGTAGAGGTGCGGTAGTGTGGTGGTAGAGGTAGAGCAGTGTGGTGATGGTGGTAGAGTTACGGTAGTGTGGTGTATTAGGTTGTAGAGGTAGGGCAGTGTGGTGTATCAGGTGGTAGAGGTACGGTAGTGTGGTGGTAGAGGTACGGTAGTGTGGTGGTAGAGGTAGGGCAGTGTGGTGTCTCACACACCAATTTTCTCACGAAATTAGTTGAGTGATTAGTTTGTTGTACTTAGTAATATATATATATATATATATATATATATATATATATATATATATATATATATATATATATATATATATATATATATATATATATATATATATATATATATATATATATATATATATATATATATATATATATATATATATATATATATATATATATATATATATATATATATATATGCATATTATGTAAACACGGCTGATGAGAAACGGAAATGACGTAGTGGTCTCGTGGTACCCGTCAGCTACCTATCTCACCAGCAGACGACAGCGTAGATGAGAGGAAGTGCGAAGATAACTCTGCAGGAGATCTGCTCCCTCTCAACGTTACGCTGGGCATCCATCAGATGTGACGTCATGACCGCCATCTTGAAAAAAAAATTCAGACAATCCCCCTCCTTCCCCCCCCCCCCCCGTACTCCCCTCTCCCCCATTAAATAAGAAACAAAAACTTGGAGGTTCTATAAATTATACCGCAAGCAGCTTCAGAAGCGCTTAGGCAGGTGATAATAGTTTATTGCCTCACCTGGATAAGAGCAGTGTTAAGGAGATGTTCACATCACGATGTCTCAAGTCTTCACATCATAGTTAGGTTTTTATTAGCTAGACATGTTGTCTGTGTAGCTATTAGCTCATGTAGCCATAACACAATGGTAGACATATTGTGTGTAGCCCTCAGAAGAGTTAGCCATTGCACAATGTTATACATATTGTCAAATAAGATAGCCACAACACAATATTAGACATATCGTGTGTGTAGCTATTGCTTGAGGTAGCCATAATGTAGCCCATAGCTGAGGTAGCCAGAACACAGTGTTAACTATCTGTGAAATTTATACCGATAACTTTGGGCTCAACTTAGAGTAGAGGTAGGCCTAGATCTATAGATTTATGATTATCGGTGATAAAAGCTATTTTTATAAAAGGGTAGGCCTACGTCCAAGAATAGATTTTTTTTAAATTAAAAGATTAAAAGATTAAACATTGGTATTGGATTTTAATGTATAAGCCCAGTTATCACCTCCTGTATATTTAAATGAGGAAAAATGCATGTTACATAAATGAATGTAACAAAATTACAGTCAAAGTAAAGTCCTGAACGATACATTTTTCTTCAAACTAATGTTTTTGAATAAGACAGTCTTACAATCTTTTGAGCGAGAAACTGTCTTAAAACAACTGTTTTGATTTAACCTGTCTTAAAACAACTGTCTCTTATAAAACTGACATTATCCCGCTGTCTTAAAATGACTGTCTCGACTAGACACTGTCTCAACACTAGCAGACACGTAGACACAAGTCCACTACCAGGTCTTGAAACTGACCAGCATCACGAAATGGACGTCACAGCACGTGACAGTAAACAAAGCCCGTGGGTCCGGGCATGTAATGAGCAGTTTGACCACCCTCCCCTCCCCCCTATACTCACCCACCCACCAGCCCGTATAAGCATCCGTTTTAGCCTGTCCAGCGCTGGCCGAGGAAGGGCTGAAATGACCGACCCGGTGACCGTCGTGTCGAGTCGTCAACCGGCCCTAATGACAGACCCGAGGGGTCGGGCGTCCATCTTCTGGACACCACACGTGGAGAAATGGGGGAGCTGGATGGACTGTGAGGGGAGAGGGGGAGGGAGGGAGTCACGATGTCACGCTAGACGCAGCCCGAGTCAGCGATACCCGGTAGTCTGACTCACGTGGTAGTAAAGGAAGTAAAATTAGTGTCTTGGTTACTATAGCAACCATTCACGGCTTTAAAATAATAAAAGCATCCAACATACATCAACTGTATGCCACGAAAGAAATGCGTTTTACGTTGCAGACATTGATCTAATTTATAAAGGTTAGTTTCAAGGAAACTAATTTCTGCAGTAGATATTCATTGGAGTGGCGCTCTAGAAGTGTTTCTTTCTGGCATCTCTTCAAAGAATGTCTGCCCATCCCCCCCCCCCCCCCCCCCCCCCCCCCCCCCATCACCACAAAAAAAAAACTAAATAGAATTTGTAAAGAAAATATATACTTTTACCAGTGTCCGCTTTCCCCATCCCCGGAAAATGTAGTCTGCCCCCCCCTCCCGGAAATTGCAAGTTCTTCCCCCCCTTCCCGAGAGAAAAGTCTGAAAGTCTGAAAGAAACCTGGCTCAAGATATATTTAATTAATTTGTGAAGAACTTATCTGTTTATTTACCCCATTCTCAACCGAACCCCTTTTTATTTATATTTCCAGATTCTGAACCCTCCACCCCCACGCCATCCATCACCCCGACCCCGAGCCTGACGTCACCGGGCGGGGACTGTGACGTCGACATCGAGATCGACGTCGGCAGCGACTCTGCCAGCGTCACATCCGGTAAAGACACCGGAAGTATCGGCGACCTGAAGCTGGCCGTGGACGGCGAGTCGCTGGACGAGACGACCAAGATCAAGTGCCGCCTGGAGACCAAAGACCTCTGGGATAAGTTTCATGAGCTGGGCACGGAGATGATCATCACCAAGACTGGCCGGTAAGTGACCACAGAGCTCAACTCCCCCCCCTTCCACACACACACACACACACACACACACACACACTCGGAGACCAAAGACCTCTGGGATAAGTTCCATGAGCTGGGCACGGAGATGATCATCACCAAGACTGGCCGGTAAGTGACCACAGAGCTCAACTCCCCCCCCTTCCACACACACACACACACACACACACACACACACACACACACACACACACACACTCGGAGACCAAAGACCTCTGGGATAAGTTCCATGAGCTGGGCACGGAGATGATCATCACCAAGACTGGCCGGTAAGTGACCACAGAGCTCAACTCCCCCCCCCCCCTTCCACACACACACACACACACACACACACACACACACACACACACACACTCGGAGACCAAAGACCTCTGGGATAAGTTCCATGAGCTGGGCACGGAGATGATCATCACCAAGACTGGCCGGTAAGTGACCACAGAGCTCAACTCCCCCCCCTTCCACACACACACACACACACACACACACACACACACACACACACACACTCGGAGACCAAAGACCTCTGGGATAAGTTTCATGAGCTGGGCACGGAGATGATCATCACCAAGACTGGCCGGTAAGTGACCACAGAGCTCAACTCCCCCCCCTTCCACACACACACACACACACACACACACACACACACACACACACACTCGGAGACCAAAGACCTCTGGGATAAGTTCCATGAGCTGGGCACCGAGATGATCATCACCAAGACTGGCCGGTAAGTGACCACAGAGCTCAACTCCCCCCCCTTCCACACACACACACACACACACACACACACTCGGAGACCAAAGACCTCTGGGATAAGTTCCATGAGCTGGGCACGGAGATGATCATCACCAAGACTGGCCGGTAAGTGATCACAGAGCTCAACTCCCCCCCCCCTTCCACACACACACACACACACACACACACACACACACTCGGAGACCAAAGACCTCTGGGATAAGTTCCATGAGCTGGGCACGGAGATGATCATCACCAAGACTGGCCGGTAAGTGATCACAGAGCTCAACTCCCCCCCCCCCCCTTCCACACACACACACACACACACACACACACACTCGGAGACCAAAGACCTCTGGGATAAGTTCCATGAGCTGGGCACGGAGATGATCATCACCAAGACTGGCCGGTAAGTGACCACAGAGCTCAACTCCCCCCCCCTTCCGCACACACACACACACACACACACACACACACACACACACACACACACACACACACACTCGGAGACCAAAGACCTCTGGGATAAGTTCCATGAGCTTGGCACGGAGATGATCATCACCAAGACTGGCCGGTAAGTGACCACACAACTCAACCCCCCCCCCCCCCCCCCCACACACACACACTTCCAACTCCCGGAGACAAATGACCCGAGGGTTTAGTTGAGTTGGGGAGTGGTGTGATTATCACCATAACTGGCCGTAAGTGACCACGGGTCAGACCCAGCACACACACAATCGCGTGGGTTAGTGATTGTAGAATAGTCACTGCTGTAAGAGCCCTATTTGTTTTTGTATTATTTTTTTTTACAAAAAAAACAAAAAACAAAACAACAAAACATGAACTGCAAAGAAAAAAAAAGTATACTGGAATGATAATTATCATTGTTAACAGTTGGAATATGCCCCCCCCCTCCTGAACGGTTTGCCATATCTCCCTATCCCCCTTCCACGGGGTCTGGCGGCGCAGTAGCTCCGCCCCTGACACATGCTTTTTAGCAGGTTGATAGAAATTGTTGCGTAAACTGGACAGTTAGTCGCACAGGTTAATAGAATTACATTAGTGGGCGTATAATTAAGGGGGCGGTGCTTCTGTCATCAAGACTCCACCCCCTATTTTCTTCTTAGTAAAAAAAAAAAGTTACAATACTCGTGTTAATTATATAAACGTCACTAACTGACGTCACGGAATGACGTCACCTGACTGAAAAGTGCCAAGACGCCCGTCTTTATTGATTTCCGCCAACGTCTTGTGTGTCATGTTGACCCAAGAATTCAAACGGTCGACTCGCCTGCTATACACTCCGACGTCATTAATCTTAAGTGCCACGGGCTGGCGCGATAGGTACGCAATTTCAGATGAACACGACAATTGGGCTCAAATTCAAGTGTTGGGGAGGCGAGACTAGTAGGGTTACACCAGGCAAGAACACCGTGCCATGTTTGGCCTGTAATGTAAAAAAATCTGGCTTTGTGAATATTGATTGAAAATCTTTCCGTATAAGGCAAAGTGTTAGCTATTGGCTAAGTTTGGTTAATTAGTTGTTACGGAAGTTAAGGAATTCACTTAATTAAATGGTATCATAACATGCAATAGGATCTAATTAAATCTTAGGTTTATTTACTACTGCGTTAATTTGTAATTATCAATTCTTAAATTTAATTAACGATTTAGTAATTCTAGTTAATGGGGGGGGGGGGGGAAAGATGGGTCTCATGAATCCCCCCCCCCCACCCCACCCCTCTTTTCCTCTCGCTCTCAACGTAGTGCCGGCTCCATTTCACGTTTAAAGTTAATGTTTAATTAGTGGAAGCCGATTTTTGAATTTACATTCTTATGCCAGATTTCATTGTAGTTACTTACGTCAAGAACAATATTAACGAAAACAGTAGAGTTTTATTCAATGACAACAATAATGAAAATAGTTACAGTAAGGTTAAGAAGTATAATTGAGATGATGTGGATGATAATGATAGAAATAATAATAATAATAATATGAATTAATAATAGTTAATGATCATAAAAGTAATAATGGAAATAATAATAATAATAATAATAATAATAATAATAATAATAATAATAATAATAATAATAATAATAATAATAATAATAATAATAATAATAATAATAATAATAATAATAGTAGTAGTAGTAGTAGTAGTAGTAAAAATGATAATGTTAAAAATAATAAAAGTAATAATAGTGATAATGTTAGTGATTATGATAACTATTATAGTTATGATGACAAGAATTCAAACATCCTGTCGCATTACTCGAACTATTGAAGCTTCCTATAATTAGTGATACAATAATTGCATTAATTATATAATTAACCAGTTCGCCCATGAAATCGAGTTTGGTCATCAACAAACAGGGATACCCCGCTTATAGCGGTTGTGTTGCGGTAGCTGGTTTCATCACTAAGCGTTGATCCTTGAATCACCCCCCCCCCCCCCCACGGGACGCCTAACGCTTTGTCCTCTCATGGGGTGTTGCTCTAATGGCCGCTCTCTATCCGGCGTCAGGAAATGCCACTTGACGACGGACGCCGCGTCAATGACTCTTCTTGGTTCAATCGATTGTAGGAGAAGCGTGTCGGTAACAGCTCCAGACTCTGGTGATGGCACAATTAACTTGTTCGTACACGGTACAGGTCAGCCGTCCAACCGTCTTGCCGTCCAACCTTCTTGCCGGCCAACCGTCTTGCCGGCCAACCATCTACCCCAGACTCTGGTGATGATACAATTAACTTGTCCGTACCCGCTACAGGTCAGCCGTCCAACCGTCTAGCCGGCCAACCGTCTTGCCGGCCAACCGGCCAACCGTTTTGACGACCAACCATCTTCCCCATCCTCTCGTGATGACACAATTAACTTGTTCGTACCCGCTACAGGTCAGCCGTCCAACCGTCCAACCGTCTTGCCGGCCAACCATCTTCCCCACACTCTCGTGATGGCACAATTAACTTGTCCGTACCCGGTACAGGTCAGCCGTCCAACCGTCTTGCTGGCCAACCGTCCAACCGTCTTGCCGGCCAACCGTCTTGCCAGCCAACCGTCTTGCCAGCCAACCGTCTTGCCAGCCAACCGTCTTGCCGGCCAACCGTCTTGCCGGCCAACCGTCTTGCCAGCCAACCGTCTTGCCGGCCAACCATCTTCCCCACCCTCTCGTAATCACACAATTAACTTGTCGGTACCCGCTACAGGTCAGCCGTCCAACCGTCTTGCCGTCCAACCGTCTAGCCGGCCTACCATCTTCCCCACCCTCTCGTGATGGCACAATCAACTTGTCTGTAGCCGCTACAGGTCAACCTTCTAACCGGCTAACCTTCTTGTCGCCAACCGTTTAACCAATGATAGGTCAAGATTTTAACTTCTTTTCTTAATTAATTAAAAATGTACATGTACATTGTTCATAAGTTTATGTTATAGAATTGAAAAATCCCAAAGAGACCCCAAATTTTCTCCTATGGCCAATATTTTATTGATTTCAATTGACCGTCCTGGTAATGGACAGGCATTGGCCAGATATTGGTCAGGTATTGACCGGATATGAACCATGCATTACTAGTTAACGACTAAGTGTTGTCCAGGCATTTGCCGAGTGTTGAATAGGCTGCTATTTACCGTAAAAGTATGGACTCAATTTTCAATACGGATGACCTAGGATTAACATACACCATTGAAAAAAAAACAGTACCAAACGTTCCAATTATCCACAGTGGTCAACATTACATCACCTCCTCAAATTACCCCCTCCCCTCCACTTTACAACCGAACAAGCAGTCACCACACGGCGCCTCAGCAAGTAGGGGGGGGGGGGGTGAATCATCTGTCAGTGTCACTCGACCCCCACACGGTCAGGTGACCTGAACACGACACACGTCACACAAGTCGACAAACAAAAACCCTCGCAAGACCATTGTCCACCTCGGTCAATCGGCCGACTGGCCGGCGAATTAGCCGGCAACACGTCCGGCATTGCCGGCTCGCGTTGATTTTGGTGAGCCGTGGCGAAGGGGAAGCCTGAACTCACGTGATGCCCGTAATGAAGTGTCAGAGGTCCGCTTGACGCCAAAGCTTGATCCGGCGCTTGCCGTCAAGCAGCCGTAATGGGATGTGTATCGGTTTCACGTCTTCATCAGCGAGCCTTAGATCAGCTAATGAACAGCTAATTACTTCCCTGTTATTATTTAAAAGAAGATCTGTCTTGATCGAGTCCAACCTAAAAATTTCGATCTTTAAAAACTTCAGTAAAAATTATTTCCGGCCAAACTTACCTCGACCATGCTATCATAAAAATAATAATTTTTTAACATTTCTAAAGAATGTTTTATACATGTCTTTATTTTTGTGTGGCTAATTTAGCCTAAAATTTTAATGTTACAATCGCCACAACATATCAGTATCTATTTTTTTTGGCTATAAAATCTGCACAATACAACCAAATAATTAGAAATTAACTTAAACGATCTCCTTATATTTTTGTTTCAATATAATCGTGACGAAATATATGGACCAAAAAGTTCTGCTTTATTCCGTTCAGTTTTTGTGCGTATTATTTTCCAAGTATATTGATTTTCTGCCGTTTATGCTGCGTATGTGTCTCATAATCTGGAGTTTATTCAAACGAAGACCATCACACCAAAATGTCATTTGGTGCATTTTTTTTTTAAATTTTATATTTTTTAAACAAATATTTAATCCCGAATTTTTGTGCAGACAGCTGTAAAAAACTAAATATCTGACTACTAAAAATCTGACTACTAAATGTCTGATTATAAATATCTGAGTACTAAATATCTGACTATTAAATATCTGAATACTAAATATCTGACGACTAAATATCTAACTACTAAATATCTGACTACTAAATATCTGACTACTAAATATCGGACTACTAAATATCTGACTACTAAATATCTGACTACTAAATATCTGACTACTAAATATCTGACTATCAAAATATCTGACTACTAAATATCTGACTACTAAATATCTGACTACTAAATATCTGACTACTACATATCTGACTACTAAATATCTGACTACTACATATCTGACTACTAAATATCTGACTACTAAATATCTGACTACTAAATATCTGACTTCTAAATATCTGACTACTACATATCTGACTACTAAATGTCTGACTACTAAATATTAGGCTGCTGATGTTAAACCAATACATCGACACAGTGCATGTTTCCGTGGGTTGTGGGGGGTCCATGCCTCTCCCCCCCCCCCCACCACCTTAACACACAAAGACAGGCCTGTCCCCCCCCCCCCCTGTCGTATTGACAAGATAACAAAGCCAGGTGAGGGCCCGTGGCTCTACAATTAGAGGAACATAAAGTTTTGACACTGTCAACCTGATACAGGGGGCTGCCGTTGTGTCCCCCCCCCCCCCACTCGCTACAGCCATAGCTGTGGCTGGGATGTGTGAACAGTAGCCATGGCTGCAGCTAATATTTAGATCGGTATAAGGGGTTTTATATATTTGGCCATCTATGACTAGTCTTGATTTTTTAGCTTTAGCGACAATATCCTGGATATATTTAGTCACCTTCATAGA